GTTCCCGGCTTGAGCGGCGTCGGCGTCGGCGTAGCCAAGGTCACCCCAAGGTCACGTGACCCCTCCCCTCCGAGGTCACGTGACCCCCCTCCTTCGAGGTCACGTGACCCCCCCCCCCTCCCGAAGCCACGTGACACCCCCCCCCCCGCCGAGGTCACGTGACCTCCCCGATGACGTCATCGTCACTGATGACGTCACCGGCATCCGCATCGTCATAATCATCATCACTGATGACGTCACCAGTGACGTCACTGATGACGTCCACGGCATCCGGATCGTCATCGCCATTATCACTGATGACGTCATCAGTGACGTCACTGATGACGTCACCGGCATCCGCATCGTCATCGTCATCATCACGAATGACGTCATCAGTGACGTCACTGGTGTCGTCATCGGAATCCGCATCGTCATCGTCACTGATGACGTCATTAGTGACGTCACTGATGGCATCATCGGCATCGTCACGTGACCCCGCAAGGTCACGTGACCCTTCCCAGGTCACTTGACCCCCCCAGTACCCTTCCCTCCTCCTCCTCAAAAGCTGCGCTCTAATTCGGTGTTACAGGGAGTTCTAAACGGCTTTCACTTTTTTAAAGCACGATTTATGGCAGTTTCCCAACTGAGTTGTTTTAATAACGTTGCCTGTAGCTTAAAAACAAGTTTTGCAAGGCTTCAAAGTCGCTCCAGCTGAGACCTAAATAGAGGAGCTGCTCGCAGAGTATGCTCCTTTGCGTTCGTCTCAGTTTTGGAATGGTTGATGAACTAAATCTTAGGCGATAACGGTCAACGCGTCACACGAACGTCAAAAAAATTCGAGAACGAGCGCCAAATTAGAGTGCTATGGATTTGATTGTTTTGCCTGAATACAGGCAACGACATGTATAATAATTTTAGATTGTCTTTTGTTTTAGCCGGCTTGATTTGGTTTCACCTTAACTATTATTTGTAAACAAAAAATAGTTCCTAAACACATAGGTTTTACGTTTTTCTTTGTTTTTTTTTTGTTTTTTTTTGTTATTGCGCTCGTTATCCACATTGGCGCTGCAAGCGGGAAACGAGAGCGCTGCCTTGGCTGCGTTGCGAAACCCCTATTCTATTAGCCGTCGATGCCAACCTTGTTGCGTTTGGGTGCCCCAGTTTCTTCGGGGAACACAAACGTTGAAGCCCCCTGTAATAAAACTCCCTACTTTAGTCGCCGATAGCAGGAGAGAGTGAGAGAGAGAGAAAAAACTTTATTAGCGTAAGAAACGCGCTATCGGCTATTGTCTCTCCCGCAGGGTTGGGCAGAAATACTCTAAAATGTATCAGAAATACAGATACTGGGTTACACCCACCAGGTCATACTGGGATACATTACAAAGACAGCTAAAATACCGATACTGAAATACATCCGCGCAAAAGTATCGTGATAGATATCAGAAACACATTTGAAAAATTGAAAGGTATTTGGAAATGCAGATACAGGAATTCTCATTTTTCCGCAACAACAACCTGCACATACATTTTTATTTAAAAAAAAAGAGAAAAGCTTTTTGTGATGGTAATTTTTGTGTTACCGGCAAAATATTTCTATTTGGAAAACCGAAATCAAATGACCTCTTGCTACATATTCTTTTATATATATATTTATATGGAAGTAATACGTGCTGAGGCACATTTGGTCGTCGGATAATAACTTGCTTTCACGTGTTCTATTTAGACAAAACGTTAACATAGCCGACGTTTCATACTGCTTGCGCGCAAGTTTCTGTACCCAAAAATTAACAGTGGGAAATTACCTTTTTTGTGTTTTGTTTCTTTCTCTTTTAGGTAAAATATGGAAGGACAAATTTAACCCGAACCATTTTCTTTCTACGTGTAGTCTGCTCACCCAGCCCATTCTAGACGTCTCCCTTTCTCCTCTTGTACTCGTGTCGCCCTCACTACTATGTATCTTCCCTCCTGGGCCGACACCTAAATGCGCATTATACAGTTGGTTCGGAATATCTATATGAGCCGGTTTTATTTTAAGTAGCGTTAAATATTTGTACGGCACAATTATTCCAAATTTTACTCATTTGAGTGTAAGTAAAGCAATAGAAAGATCAGCTTCCGCTTCTAAATTGTCGCACTCTCCAGTCGTACCAGAGCCCATTCTTAAGACTGAACAGTATTCCCTTTTGGAACGAAAGACTTTGAAATGCCCATGCGTCACCATTAAAGCTACGTAAATAAAATTGAGCGCCCGGGGATTCTGGAAGGGTGGCCGGGGTGGTGTTGACGCAGCCGGAGGGTGTGTTACGGGGAATTTGGGGATGTGGGCATAAATCGTTGTATGCATTGACTGCTGCGGGCTGGGTATGGTTTATATTGCTTTGGCCCGAATGTAACCCTTTTTGATCACTCGAGTGCAACGCTTTCCGCAGAAAATGGAGCCCATAAAGACACGTTTTTATTAAAATTCGGTAGACGGCCGATACTTCGTCACTAACACGTCCGAAGTTTATAAATTTCGAAGTCAGCGGCGTAATGCGTTTACAATCGTCATAGGAGAAACACATTGACGCATGTCACTTATAAATGACACAGACATGCTACCTGCAGCATATCTGAATTGCTTTAAAATTTCTTCGCCTACTACATTATTACCCCCAAAAAATAAAAAATAAACCTTTTTCCAAATAAAGAAAAAAAAAAGCGAAAAGGAGCTTGAGTTTGGGGAACGGAAAAAGAAAAAAAAAAGAGTGCGTTTCTTTTTTTCTTTTGAGGGGGGGGGGGGGCGGAAGGAGGTGGGAGGGCTGGTTGTTGCATGCGTTTAAGATTGTTTTTCGATTAAATTTTTAATGGATATACCACGCGCTCTTGAAGCGTTTGAGACCACACGGAAAATACTAATTGTAAACATAGAAATAAAACAGCGCAAACGAACACAAGGACAAGTAGAAGAAGGGACACAGACACAGCGCTGACTCACGACCTTTTTCTTTCTCATCTTTTTAAAACATATCAACATAAGAAAACAAGAAATGAAAAATAAAAGAAGAAGAATCCAGCATGTAGGACATCCTCTCTGTCATATGCCATCTGAGGATTTTTTTACACAAACTATACATTATATACCATTAAAAAAAAAAAAAAATTAAAAAAAGCCCAAAACCACAGCGCGAGCCCTAATGCTCTGTGCGTACCTGTCTTGCACGCGGACTGTTGGTATGTCGGAACCCTTTTCTGGCTGCATGTAGGCACGCGCCTGTGGTTATAGGATCACTCCCATGGAAGCAGAAAGAAAGTATTAAAGAAACGTGCCCAAACTCCGAAGAAACTCGAACTCTTCACTGTATAACGTCACTGACTCTGAACTGACGCATAGATCGGGACCGTGTTGTCGAATGTAAAACGCTTCATGAATTTCCCTTGCCATTTTTTGTGAATGTTTAGCCAAAATTTCAATGTCACTTAACCGAGGGGAACAACCACACCTATCACAATGAATGGCTAGGTGACCCGAAGGTGAAGACCTCAAAGACAGATAATGCTCCCGAGCTCGAACATTAATACATCTGCCCGTCTGCCCAATATACACTTTACCACATGAAAAGGGTATTTTATAAACGACCCCCACAGCACAAGCTACATATTTGATGCGATGGTTTATTCCACACCCTACACGCTGAAGTCCTGCTCTCTCAATGGACGCACACAAACGGGATAGCTTGGAAGGTGCTGAAAAGACTATGGGAACTCCGTATTTAACAGCCACTTTTTTGATCCTGTGGGAAAAACTGTGCAAATATGGTATTACCACCGGTCGAGAGGCAGGCTTTTGTCTAACATTGTCAAGTATGTTAAGGGGATTCCTGAATAGCTTTAAAAGTGACTCCGCTACCCCCACTATGACAAGTTTCGGGAAACCCGCTTTTGTTAACCTATCTACATGACACACAAAGCTGTTCAAACTTCTGTGAACACAGGATTTCAATAAAGAAGCTCTCAAACATGATTTTGAAATAGCTCTTTTTACAACTTTTGAGTGCGTAAATTCATAGCTAAGGAGGGATTTTTTGTTCTAGGCTCAAAAGCCCAGCACAGGTGACTCGTTTCAAGACTAATGTTGAGTTCCAAAAATTGCAAAGCTTTTTTAGTTGGAACCTCATTCGTAAACCCCAGACCTCCAGAGCACTCCCGAAAGGTGTCTAATAACTCTGAGACCAAGTCAGCACTTCGTGAGCCCTGCTTAGGTTTAAACACCACCAGTTAATCGTCAACATACCTGAAGACTTTCAAAAAACGATCATCTAACCTTTCTGCAATAGCACAATCACAACCTGCTAGGCAGATGTCACTCAATATGGGAGCAACACTAGACCCAATGCAGATCCCGGATTTTTGCAGCAACGTGTTGCCCTCAAAAAGAAATAAAAGTAGACTTTAAGTAAAAGCGGAGAAGATCCAAAAACTTTTCCACAGCAATACCAGTCGAATTCTGGAAGGCAAAAGAACCGTTTAAGTCAATGCAAAGTTGAACCGCTTCAATGAGACCTCCATGAGGTCTCATTGAATGTATAGTTTGTGTAAAAAATTCCTCAGATGGCATATGACAGAGAGGATGTCCTACATGCTGGATTCTTCTTCTTTTATTTTTCATTTCTTGTTTTCTTATGTTGATATGTTTTAAAAAGATGAGAAGGAAAGTAAGTCGTGAGTCAGCGCTGTGTCTGTGTCCCTTCTTCTACTTGTCCTTGTGTTCGTTTGCGCTGTTTTATTTCTATGTTTACGATGCATCGCCGAATAGCCCACCTCCAAACATTACTAAAGTACTAATGTTTGGGTTATCAGTGAATCTTCAAATAATATGTACTTGGACAAAGTTTTTCAAGCATAGATGGGCAAATTTTAAAATAAAATGCCTCATCTCCATGCAACGAGGGATATGGAATTCTACTCAATGTAATTTTTTGTGCTTTGACAGTTCTACAAATCCGGACTTAAAACTACAGTTCTTTCCATCACTCTTCCAGAGGCACAAAATTCCGAAGGATGCGAGCGGTCTGCCTGTCAACCAAAAGAGAGCGTGGGCAGTGGACCGTGCATCACGCGCCATGTTCCCGCTGCTCTTCGTGGGCTTCAACATCGTCTACTGGGCCGTCTACCTGACCAGGCCCATGTTGGACGTCGACAGGCTCTGATACGCGCAGCCCCTTACGTGATGACACGGGCGATTGATCCCGGTTTTTCCTAAACCTTTTTAGGGCTAACGGTAGATATACACTATATCAAAAAGCGCCACCTTAGTTGGGCGAGTAAAACAAGAACGACAAAGTGACTATTTTTGAGTTCCAATGGTGCGCTAGTACGTCTTAGTTCCTTCCAACCATTTTTGAGATTTGAGGTTCTTCTCGCCCTTGTGATCGAATGCACGACACCTACGCTTTGCCAGAAAGAACGTTGCATCAACAAGGTTCCCAAGCCGTCGTTCAGGTAGGCTAATATTCGGAATAAATCATGTAACCAGGAAAAGACAGAAAGAATGCATGGCAAAGCATGTTGAAGGACTAAAGCAATCAAGATTTAAAAAAGGAATAATAAAATCGGTGTATTTATTGAAAGCATACAGTAAAAAAATATTTAAGTCGGATATTGGCTGCTTTCAAGTCGGTTACTCTTCTGTGTTTCCTGCGGGAAGACGGCGAGAGAGTAATTTGGAGCGCACTTTTGTAGAAAAGAAAACAAAAATAAAAAAACCTAACCTATCATCCAAAGCACGGAACTGAGTACCCGAAAAGCTCCAGGGTGATGCTGCCTCCTCGCGGCGCGCGATCGAACTATGCTGGATTCGTATGTCCCCGTTTCGCCGGAAGATGGCGAAAGAAGTCAATCTATCGTCACTTCTAAGCTGACCGGCGTGTTGAGCATCCTATTCCGTCCGTGCTTCGAAAGGGATCCTCAAGTGGCAACAAATGACGTCACAAAAGCCGGAACGGTGACGAAACGCTGGCGAAAAGCAAGAGCGAACGTAAGTGTCGCTGTCGTCGCAGCGTCCCAACTCCTGGCTACCGAAGCTTCCAATGAACTGTGAAGCAGCGGAGCGATCTGCAGCAGAACAGGCGTCTGCCACTTCCATCGCTGCTGCCGTGACACCGCCAGGAACGTGGCCGGCGATAGCGTGACACTCGTCGGGCGGAAATCGAGGGACCACTTTTTCGGACAGGGTAAACAGAGGCCCAGTCGGAGAGACAGCGGGTGGCACTGGGCAAGCTGCAACGCTGGACACCATTAACTAAGTTCATTTGTTTAGTCTTTTCCTGTACTTCTAAAACTCTTGGAACTTTATTATTGCTGATTTACATTAAACAAACGATCAGAAAGAAAAAAAAATCAATAAACACCTGAAATAAGTAAAGCGACTCACGAGATAGTGCGAAATGTAAATACGGTGGCAGTATGAAAAAACTGCTTCATTTTTAATTGTGTTTATAAAAGGGTATTGCGAGCGTATCTATTATGTTATTATATTTGGTTGTTGCAGAATATTCGCAACATACATATAGCTGGCATGCCTAATAGAAGCGTCCTTGCACCTGTCTCTAAATGTTGCTAAAATTGTAGCAAGTGTGGGCAAAATACAGCATGTAGGATTACATGCGCATGGCACACTTTATAAATTATAAAACAGTGTGTTTAGTTTGAAAAAAACATATATGTTAAAAAAACACCTATATAAATCGGTTCATTGTTGCTAGTGCATGTATTTTTCGTTGGTATTGCCGCACTCAAATCAAACGAGAGAGAGAAAAAAACACGTAATCAAATGGGCAATGTAAGGGTGAGCGATGCCTGTCATTGTATAAGAGAGCTTGAACTTTACCTGTACCAAGTGTGCATGCGCTGTTCTTAGCTTTGTTGTTGCGAGTTGTACGTGTGATTCAAGGTTGTTATTGGCTATCGCCGTTCAGCCTCGCTCACGTGAAGTTATTTCATTTATATATCTGCTCAATTTGGCGTTCCGTCGCCCGACATTATTCCACTTCATTCTCGAGAGACGCCAAGTATTGCAGAATGATGAGCCAGCATAAATATTATATCACACGTGAGCATCATGGCAGCGAGTTAAGAAGAGTGTGCGACACTTGCCTGCGTTACGGTGGCATATGGATAACCTCATACGGGTTTTTCTAGCAAAACTTGAGCGAAGGCCAACGTTTGCCCAATCATAAGGAATTAAGGGCGTTTCTTTAACGATGGAGCTTCTTAATACATGCATCGTCCCTGTATCTTGTTTAGTACCTACACTTCACCCTACCGTCACTAATTGCTCGTGTTTTTGGCAGAACGACGCTTCATTCAAATCAGGCTTAGTCTCTCTTTATTAGAGCCCGCATTACGGTAGCTACGGCATGCACAGTTATAAGGTGGGAGAATGATTTGATTTGAAAGGATTTTGATTAGAAAAATTAGATTTGGCACCTCGTGAGTAAAAGAAAATTCTTTTTGTGTGTTGAATTACATCTATCCAGATTAGTTGAAGCATGTGACTCCGATTACCATTCCCACTCTGCACATTTAATTTTCTATCCTTTCCGACAACACACCAAAATGGTGTCAGTACTCGGTATCAAATTTTTGGTCTGTGTTGGCAAGGCTAGTTTAGTTTCCACAGTGCTGTAGCCCGCACTGCTGCTCAGCCACGAGGCTTTGTCTTGCGCGTCATACGAGTAATGTTATTTCAATGTTTTACAATTACTTGTTTTTTTAGTGTTTGTTTAACCGACGTGAATATGGCTTTCTTTAATACCTGTTTAATAGTCTTTGCTTTGTAGTAAAGTCTCTAATGCTTGCATATTTTATTTTTGGGTATATTTGTGCATATATATGTGTACATCTGTATGTTTCTATCTTTATAAAACTTTTGTAATATTATTCTCTACACGCTGCAGGTCAAACAAAATAAATAAATAAGCAACGCTGCGAAAACCACTCTAGCCTTGCCAACGTAGCAGAAAAACGTTGACGCCGAAAAGCGGGTCCCAAGGGCACATGCAGAGTCGAGATCGGGAGCTGATTCGCCGATTCCCTGAAAGCCTTCGTTCTGAAGGTCCTTGAAAAAGGGGCGCAACACATCTCATATTTCTTTCACGCAAACATTTCAAAGGCCTTCTGACCGAAGGACTGTATGAAATCAGCAAATCAGCGCGCATTCCCGACTTTTCGTGTGCCCTTCCGCATGCGCTGCTTCTCCAGTTCTATAAGTACCTTTGATGTGAAGGCCCTTGAAATGCCCCTAAAACAGGGGTATTAGAATAGTATGACGCTAGTTCACTATCATAATAGTATACTATTACAATAATAGATTACAAGAGTATTATATCACAATAGTATGATACTATGCTTTTCTCTGGTTAATTTATAGCATAGCAGATTTATTCACTAAAAATATCCGGTCCCGTCGTTCATTAAACAGCACTGCCCTCGGTAAACCTGTCACTTCAATTTACGAAGTAAGTTCGGCAAATGGCGAGATCTAGAAGACATTCTGATTAAATATAAAATTTTGCATTATATATATATATATATATATATATGTTTATTTTTACATGCTCAGACTTCGATTGAGATTAATACAGGAGTGAAAAACAGCAGTTAAAATAAATATATATTGAACAACAAACAAAAACAGAACACTAGAAATAACCATTTTACAATTACACATCAAAACAAAGAAAAGTTACCTATTTCTAAAATAAAGTCATCGTAGGGAAGCCCCTGCGTGTAATCCATCAACATTTTTCTATAACTCAAAATTGAAATAAAAAAAAAGACTAATTTTAAACATTTCATATAAAATTGAATTGTTATAATGCTCAAAGAATGATACCATCTAGAGCGAGTGACCTGTGTGGGAAAAAAAATGTAGCTCATCCGCTGGATGACACCATCATCATTAACAATTTTATTAAACATTTTCAGCCGCTCGACAATCCGCCTGAAGCATAAAGATTCAATGCCGTACGCTCTCTTAGCATACGATGGCTAGATATGTCGATTATACCTATCGTAAATAAGCCTTACAGTTTTAGCGTGGATTGAATCATAAAGATTAATTTCCTTTTTTTATATATATGGGTCCCAGACAACGGATCCATACTACAAACTTGGCCGAACGAGATGTTGAAAAGGGTGTAATTTGACTTCTTCAGGAGAGCATTTGTACGTATAAGTTTGACCTACCCATCCTTCCTGAGGGCGGGGGTGCAAGTGAAGCTAACGTGCTTGTCCCATTTAGGGTTACGCGTAAAAGCAATATCTAGGAATTTGAATTCATAAACCTCATTTAGAATTACATCCTCAATGACATGGCTAAACACAAAAGGTAATTTATGATTTCTGAACTTCATAAACAATTACTTGTTGAAGTTAATTTTCATTTTCCATTTTTTCCTCCAGTTAAAGAAGCGCACGAAGGATTCATTAAGTGAGAGTTGATCACTTAAGAAAATAACATCATTGTACGTTACGCAATCGTCTTGATAAAACGAATTTTAACCGATAAATTTTCTGTACAGTCATTAATATAAAAAAAAGTAGTCCCAAACAGATTCCTGCGATACACTTGGTTTTATCTGAAGCCTCCGAAGAAGAAGCATTCTTAAACGAAACCAACTGTGACCTGACTTTTACATATTCTCTAGTCAAGTAAAATAAGAGTATATTTTTTTAGTATAACTTTCAGCTGCAGAATTAGTTTAGAATTCGATACTATATGAAATGCCTTCGAATAATATACATATAGTATCAACTTGGCCTCGTTTATTCAAAGAGAAAGCAATTTCATGGTGAATTCTAGAAGTTGCAGGGTTATTTAAAGAACGAGAACGAAAACCATGCTGTTGGGGCCAATAATTCAGTTTCTTTCGAGATATTCAGAGATATACCTGTAAACTATATGTTCCATGAGCTTACTAAAGAAAGATGTCAATGAAATCCGTCTGTAATTCATAAGGCTTTGTTTTCACCTGATGTAAATATGAGAGTTATTCCGGCACATTTCCACAGTCTACGTACGAATTCTGGAGGAAAATATTTCTCCAAGATTAATGTTATATGTCTCAATGTAAAGAAAAATATGGATTTAAAGAAATTAATTAGTTATGTCATCCGGAACTAAACTTTTCTTACTCAAGATTGAAAA